TCCTTTAGATTTGGACTATATTGTTTATAATCCTTGGATGACGCAGGCTGATGTGTCATTCGATGTAAACTTAGTTGATGCCACACTTAGATGGCTGCTTGTTTGAAAACAAGCCTTTTAGACCCCAGACACTTACTGATAGCTGGGCACCATTTGCTTTCTTCACCACACTTTGCTATAGGATCCATGTCTCCAGTGATCTTATCATGAAGTCGCACATCAAGCCAGGCCATGTCATAAAAACCAAGTGTTCTTCAACTGGGGCTAGAATTAAGTGCAAGCCCTAAATGTATCCATGCATCTACTGTTTATATATGTCTCTGGTTCACCTTAGAGACATCACAGTCATTTATGTTAGAGAACATTATCAGTCATCCCCTGGGGCAGTGCCGACTCAAGGAGAGCCTATAGAGTAGGGTTGAACTGCCCCCGCAAGTCTCTGAATTTGCAAATCTTCACAGGAGTAGAAAGCCTTGTTTTTCTCCATCAGAGCTGACTGGTGGTTTCAAATTGTCTACCATGCAGTTAGCAGACCAATGTGTAACCACTATCCATTGATAATGTCAGCAGTTTAGCCAATGGTATAGAATTAAAAAAAAACTGTTGAGAAGAGGAAATTATGTAAGTACAGGCCAGCTATGAAGTGCAATACATGACTTGTTGACTTACACAGATTAAATTTTTAAGTGACTGGACCCTATTTACACAAACAATTCAGGTTGGTGGTCGGAAAGATTTTCCAATAATATGAATTCACAGCAGCAGATCCATGCCTACCAGGTTAATTCAATGAAGCAGGGAGGGCATTACAGTTGTATGTATGTGGTAGGTCTAGACCACCGTTCAAGGCACTCTTTATGGAGTAGAAAGCCTCATCTCTTTTCTTTAATTATTTTTTAAGCAGTTTTATTGGCACGTCACCCATATATCATGCAGTTAAATAGTTTAATCATATTACGAAGAGTTGTACATCATTACCACAGTCGATTTTAGAACATACTCTTCTTCCTTCCTTGTACTCATTGTTATTTGTGTAATTATTTTTCTCAATTGGGAAAAATATACACAACAAAACATTCTCCAATTCAACAACTTCTGAATGTTATAATTCAGTACCATTGATTATACTCTTTGTGTTATACAACCATTATTGATATCCTTTACCTAATTATTTCACCACCATGAGCATAAACTCAATGCTCCCTAAACGAATGCTTTTCCTCCTTCACCCATGATAATCATGGGTCAAGTGGGGGTTTTTTTCTTTCTTTTTCTTTTAGTAGTTTTCTTGGTATAATATTCATATGTCATATACTTCCATAGTTATTGGAAAGCCTCTTCTTTCTCCCTTGGAGCAGCTAGCAGTGTCAAACTGCTGACCTTGTGATTAGCAGCCCAGGGGATGATCACTCTGCCACCCATGCTCCTCTGAAAGTCCACTAGGACTTTCAATTCTAGGCATAATTTAGCCTACAAACGTGCACTATTTGTCTGGAAGAGTGTTTTAAAATATTGAATTTGAAGAACTTTAATTTTAAAAAGTTAGAATATCTTTATTGTATTGGTTTATTTTAGTTACTCCATTGGCATATATTTCACATGTCATGGAGTTTAATAGTTCAGTTATATTGAGGAGAGTTGTGCAGTCGTTTTAATGACTTTAG